AACCAGAACAACACGAACAACCGACAGCCTATACCAACAACAACAACAACGAAAATAATAACAGCAGATAAGAGACTTGAAGAGCATGTAGACGAATAACAAGATCGATACGGGTATCTACCCCCTGGACCTTTGTAACATTCTACAGCACTAAATCACCGTTGCGTAAGGTTCCAATACCACGGACTGGATAAGACAACGATAAGCAGGCCGACCTTCAGCCTCGGAGGCGACTATAAAAGCGCGCTCAGCCAAGGCACGGCAGCCAGTGTGAGCTCCGACTAGACCTGTCTTGCGACAGCGTGAGTCGCCACCATGCGCTGCACCGCACTGCTCTTTGTCGCCCTCGCCGGGTCCGCCCTGGCAGGTAACAAAGCCTCACGTGGAGTTACTTAACGAGTGATAACAGTTTCTGTGTGACTAACAAGACGCGCTTTCCTGGATATTTGCCTCGCATGACGAGCGTTGTTTTAAGGAATACGAGAAAACCCAAACGACGATTCCTTCGAAAGTGAAACGAACGCGGAAAGGAATCCGTCTGTCTCTGACAACTGTTGTATTAATTGTTGAATGAGAAGGAGGCTAAGCTGAGCTGGGTTCGAGTGTCTATTTTAGGGAGTGATAGACTATAGTTTTAGTTTAATACGGCAGATTACGCCACTCGAAAGTTCCAAGGCATAAATAGAGCCCAAAAGTACCATTGTGTTGCAACAGTTCTAATATGCCCGAAGACATACCGAACAGTTCATATTTATTACAGTGAATGTGAAAAAAGAGTGAGAAAAATCTATGGAGATATTTTGCCTTCTAAATAAATTATGTTCATGGCTACATAAAACGCCTTGAAGGATGATAATAGTTATCATTAACATGCTTTGAATATTGATTAGTTTTCATTAACACTCATCGAATATCATTTATATGATTCCCTTGCATTGATCCAGGGTTGTCTCTAGATTCTTTATCAGAAGATAATTTTTGGTTTTCATAATACGCATTGGATGATTTGTATATGCAATGCAAATTCCCTTTTTCGGTCTCGAGGTGTAGTTGCATCATTGTGTTCCCAGATAAAATTGTATTGATATGTCATTTTTTTTTTTTTTCAAAAGTATATATATAAAAAGTATGGTTTCAAACCCCCATAACGGTGTCCTAATGACGCTTTCTAGAGAATCATAATGCCCAAACTCGATCATTCTTCTTCAGGACCAACGGGCCAAAGATCAACCTGCGCCCTGCACTGCAATGACGCGGAAAGTTATGCATATGAAAGCGGTAAGTCGATCACATTTTCAATTATTCATATATGAAAGATTATTTTATAAAGGTACTCTAAGAATACATCAAAGGATACCATGAAGAGTTTGTCTAATGTTGAATATATCTCCTCAGGCAAAAGTTATGTTTACGAATACTCGGTGACGACCTCCACCGCCCTCCTGGAAACCTTTGAGGACGACGCCCACTTGCACATCACCGCCAACGCCCACATCGATGTTTCTGCCCCCTGCGAGTACATCCTCAAGGTACGTCGGTACTCTGCTTAAAGCAGTTCTGAAATGGGAATGAACAAAATAGTATTCATATACTGTTTTCTGCGGAGAGCCGCTGGAAATTGTTAATCGTATCTGGTTTCCACTGCAGTTGACCGACGTCAATCTTGATGGATCGTCTCACGGACCAGAGTTCGCTGCTGCTGTTACCAAGTCTCCTTGCGCTTCTCCTTCCAAGATGGCCAAGTGGAGAGTATCTGCGGCGAAGCATCTGAGCCGGCCTGGGTCCTTAACTTCAAGAGAGGTGTCCTTTCTACCTTCCAGAACTCCATGGCCCATCAGGGTGATGAGGTACATTCCATGATAATTGATTACTTGCAGTATGATCCACTGATTTGCATCAGGATTGAATGATTGACCGAGTGACCAATCTTTTCATTCTGTTGCCTACCTTCCAGGACATTAAGGAGACAGACATCTCTGGTGTTTGCATGACTCACTACAATGCTACAGTAGAGGGCAGCGTTGTCACCATTGATAAGGTCAAGGACTTAGCCACATGTACTCAGCGACCTGACCTGACCTTCATCCCCTCAACTGGATACATCAGTGACTCTCCAGTCCAGAGCCTCCCAATCTTTAAAAGCTCAAGCAAGTGTCACCAAAGGGTAGAGGAAGGCCTTCTGAAGACGGCAGAATGTGAGGAGACCCACGTGTTCCGTCCCTTCTCCAGCGAAAAGGGAGGAGCTGTTACAACTGCCAAGACTACCATGATTCTCATGTCTCAGGAACGACTTACTCCTATCACAGGTATGTGTATCTTTGTGTGCCATTTGTTTTACAGGTCATCATTGCTATCGACTTGCACAAAACATGAAGAACACCGACACTGCTCATTCTTATGTCTATTATGGTTCTCATTGCAGACTTTGACTTCAAGCGCAATACACTGGCTTTCGAGCACACACTCGCACCAGAAGCTCAGCTTGAAGCAGTTGAGGAGATCTTGAGCAATCTGGAGATTGCTTCCAACAATGAAATCCTTCCAGAGGTTCCTTCACTATTTGCCAAACTCGTGTCATCACTCAAGGAACTGGATTACCCTCAGCTCAACACTGTTTACAACAATGCTAAAGAAACTCACACACGGAAGTTCCTGGTTGACGCTATGCCACTGGTGGGAACAGCTGCTTCTTTTGGTGTGGTCAGAGACATGTTCCTCAATGGGGACATGACAGAATCTGAGGCTGATGTGTTCTTCACTTCACTGGCTTTCTTCAAGAACCCAACAGCAGAAATGTTTACTGCTCTTGCTGTTAGTATTGATATAATCTATAAACACAGTTATGTATATATTATATATATTGTTGCTTATGTATACTCATATTGACATTTATTACAATTAAGAAGGCATTTGTTGAAAATATTTTCTGCCACTTTACCTACACATTATCTAATATTTTTACAGCCTTTACTCGAGAACAACCCAAGCCAAAAAGCAATGTTGGGAACTTCTGCTCTCATCAACACCTTCTGCAAAATCAATGAAGACTGTGGTGCCGATTCCAGTGTCCAGCAAGTAATTCGTCGAATTGAAACACAACTTGGATCTGGCTGTCGCACTGTGAATGAAGAAGAGAAAAGTCAGGGTACTCGTTGCTCTCAAGGCACTTGGCAATGCTGGCCGATGGGTTAATGCCAACTCAGTCCTAAGGCGATGCTATACTGAAGATAATGAGATGGAAGTGCGAGTGGCAGCTATTGACGCATGGAGGCACACTCCATGTGAATATGACCGATCTCACCTTCTGGCTGCTTTCCAAGATGAAACTCAGGACACAGAGGTTCGCATTGCAGCCTACCTTGCTCTCATGACCTGTCCTACTCCAGACCTTATCAATACCATCAAGGACCGTCTCACTTCAGAAGGTGTCAACCAGGTGGGCTCCTTCATCTGGACTCATATGACCAACATGCAGGAATCAGCTGCTCCAGAAAAACAGTGGGCTCGTCAAATGATTGGCGAGGAACTTCTCCAGAAAAAGTTCAGTACCGAAGCCCTCAAGTTTTCTCGCAACTATGAATCCTCTTTCTTCATGAATGAAATCAACACTGGGGCTTCAGTTGAAAGCAATGTCATCTTCTCCAGCAAGTCCTACCTGCCACGTTCTGCAATGCTGAACCTCACCCTCGACCTCTTTGGACAGTCTATCAACTTCTTTGAGGTTGGTGGAAGAATCGAAGGTTTTGAGGCTTACATTGAACGCTTCTTTGGTCCTAGAGGATATTACCCAGAGGAAACCATTGAAACCATCCTAAGGAATATGCGACAGAACAGTGACGCTGATGCCACCACGCTTGAAGGCTTCCTTGACCACATAACTGATGAACCGAAGGGATCCTACTACCTCCGAGTTTTGGCAATGAGCTTCATTACCACCACTTCTTAGGACTTGAAAACCTCATCCAAACATCCGGTGCTTCTAACCCACTGGAATTCTTGATGAATCTGGCTCGTCAGGGAGATGTTGATTACACAAAATCTTACCAGCTAATGGACACTCACCACACCATTCCTACTGTGACTGGTTTACCTGTGACCCTCACTGCAAAGGAACAGCTACCCTTGGACTCAAGATGAATGGAAACTTCAAGGCTCGTAGTCTCAAGAATATAAACATTGAAGGACACCTCCATCCTTCGGCCGCAGTTCAAATTGATGGCGTTATGCTCGTCGATGCCCACGTGTCTCGCACTGGACTGAAGATGTCTTCCAACCTTCACACCTCCACATTCCTTGATGGCAAGCTTCAGATCAATGGTGGTAAACTAGTCGATGTTGCCTTCAACACACCTCAAGGGAAGTTATCAATGTCAAGACCGAGTTCTTCTACCTGGAAGATGATCAAGAGATCCGAAAGGAAGTTGCAAACCTCATCCAAGAAGAGAGCTGCACTAGTGGAGTCAGTGGCGTTGCCTTGTGTGGTGAATACAGCTACGCTCCTTGCTCGGAATATGGCCCAAGCTTCCCCTTCACAGGACCTTTTGCAACAAGTGTTCATTTCAAGAAGACAAACACTCAGACTGGATATGTCCTGCGCTTCACTCACGAAGATGATCAGTTTGTTTTCTTGTTTGACACACCAGGATCACAAACAGATCGTAAAGTCCTTCTTACTGTTACCAAGGCTGCTAAAGCAATCAGCTTTGATCTTCACACGCCATTTAAATCAGTCCAAGGTAGTGGCGAATATCTCTGGCAGAAGAATAACAAGAACACTAAGCTGGCACTCGTTGTTGATGAAAATCAACAATACATGCTAGAGGCTGGTCTACGTACAAGCGGAAAAACAGTCAAGACACTTGTCCCATCTTTCATTCTCACTTCCCCTACTGGTCAAGTATTGAATGTACAAGGAAACTTCCAGGCCAACACGGATGCTGCTAAATATGTTGCTGATGTTACCATCTCGGAGATGACTGCATCCCCCATCATTGTACACGGTAAGTTCTAGGTTTATATCAAAGAAAATAAGGCCTAATGATGCATGAATAATGTTTGATAAAACAAATTAATCGATCTATTGTATATCATTTTATGGATGATGTTGAAACCTGTCTACTTTCTTTTTACAGCATCGTTTGAGGGCGAAAGTAACTCTGTTGCCATGAACGTTGATCTGAAAACACCAATCATTGACACATTGGTCAAGAGTGAGTTTGGTTATGGTGAGAACTTCCTTTCATCCAAGGTGGAAGCAGAGTACAGTATTATGAAAGAGGCCAAACAGACGGTCCACCATTCTGCCCTTCTCAAGAAGGAAACCACAGAGGACCTCTCCAAGTACACCATTGTCTTTGACGTCTCCCCATCACAGTACCCTGAAATGACATTAGATTATAACCAGAACATCGTCCTTTCAAAGGGACGCATGGAAAACAACGTAAGCTTGTCCATGGCCCTGCCACATGGAACGTCAATGAAGTGGTATCCTACGCCAATAACAATGGTCACCGCGATATGAACATCCACTGGACAGTCGCTGCACACACTATGAGATCGATACCTCTGGTTCCTTTGCACTGGAGTTCTCTCCAAATCACCTGAAGGGTGACTATCACTTCCAACTGTCTCCTGGGAGAGAACAGGTCATCCTAGTGGAATTCAGTCATCAGTATGACGTCGAAACACTCGGACGTATCAACGTGCAGGCTGAGGACCTGAGTCTTCCCTTGAATTTGTTTTCAATAAGATCGCAGCTGGCCACTACAAAGCTCAGGAGTACTTGTCATTCATTTTTTTCACTGAAAGAGATCCTGAAATGAAAACAAACTTCGGGTTTAGAGGATAACCTACGTATGTATATATTATATTATCACTCTTCATTTACATTTTATATATATATATATATATATATATATATATATATATATACTATTATATATATATTAATATATATATAATATGATATATATTATATATATATATATATATATGCATACTATACTATTATATTATATATATAATACCTATATTATCGATTATTATATATTTATATATATATCAACTATTAATATTTAATTATATATTATATATATATAATATAGATATTATAGAAAGTATCTATTTGATACTAGCATATAATAATACTTGACAATATCAGACTATATATATATACAATTTATTATATATATAATTATAATTAATATATAATATATATATAATATATATAGCTAGCTAGTAGTAAGGTATAGTATAAATATATATATGTATACTATATAATATATTATATTATATATATATAATATATATATTATAAATGATATATATATATTATATGCATATGTAATAGTTATTCATATATATAGTAGTGGCAGTGGCATATGCATAACATAAGTATAGTATATATATATAATATAGTATATATATATATATACGTACGTATATAGTATATATAATATATTGATAGGCATAGAAACTAACTATAATATAAAGGTATACGTTAATATTATATCAGTTTATAAAGAACAGAGGTATAAATACTACTAGTACACTAGAAGTATATTTTTTAATACTATACGTATAAGGGTTTTATAATTATATTATACTATTATATATATGTAGTATAATTGGGTCTAGTATAGTAATATATATATATACATATATATATTATTATACTCTGTATATCTATAATTATATATATATAGTAATTACAATATTATACATTATATTGACATTGCCATATAAAGTATATTTCTTTCGGTATAATATAACTGGAATATATTGATTCTTCATAAGTACGTTAATAATAATCACTATATTATAACCTCATATATAATCGCCTATTATACTACTATGTATATTCATCTATATAGCATAAATATAACTAGCTACTATAATACGTATATTAAAGTGACTAATATATAATACATTACATACCGAATTCTATATATAATCCACTATAAGCTATTCTGACATGCATTATAAATATACGTCCCATAGCATACTTCATTTCTCCATCAGGCACAACACACGATATATACGTCCTCTGCATACGTATGATATATATATATCATAGTATGATATATATAGGATATATCATTATATAAGTAAATGTATTTACTCAGAGTATTGAAATATTACTCAATACATATACTCATATATAACGAGAGAATAGAGAGTATTGAATATACTAAATATATACATATAATATAAAATATACATAAGTGAATGAATGAATGAATAATAAATAAATAATAATAGTATATAATATATTATATATGCACACACATTTTCAGTATGTATATATATATAAAATTATAGCTATATATATTATATATATTATTTATTAATATAAATAAATATAATATTATATATATAAATATATTATATATATATATATATATTACATTATAATTTATTATTGTATATATTATATTTAATTATATAATATATATTATATATAATATAATATATAATATATATATATTATATATATATATATATATATGTGTGTGTGTGTGTGTGTGTGTGTGTGTGTGTGTGGTGTGTGTGTGTGTGTGTGTATTTGTGTGTGTTTGTTGTAGGTTTATATTTAGCTATAACTGGTAGAGAATACATATGTATGTGTTATGTATACATATGTGATGGTGCATGTGTGCGGAGCGCGCAGGCTAGTCGTGGATAGGTGTGCATAACAAGGTATAGAGTCTGTGTGTGTAGTGTTTGTGTTGTGAAGGGGTGAGGGTGAGGTGTAGTAGGCGAGGATATTAAGGACCCTGGGATGTGAGTGATGACGGGTGTATTCGCGGGGGCAGCGGTGAGGTTACATGAATAAGTTTTGGGGTTTGGTGTGGTGTGTGGTGTGTCGTTGGGCGGCGGGGTGATGTAGGTACAGGTAGTAGTCAGGCGGGTAGGTAGGGGGGTATCGGCGGCGCCGGGTGATAGTAGTATGGGGTTAGTAGGGGGTGGGCTAGAGGTAGGTAGTGACAGGGGGATTAGGGTGAGATCATAGGGGCGTAGTATGCTATCTATGTTCGGGGAGGGGATTAGGTGCGAGTTAGCGTCACATACAGGTGGGCCTGAACTAAGCATAATGAGGTAAAGACGACTATTTATATAGGTGGTATATTGTATATATATAATCATATATAAACTATATATGTAGTAAGACCAGTATGACTAGTATTATGTGTGTTGTGTTGTGTGTACTTGTGTAGTGTGTGTTGCTACATGAGTTTATAATACTATATGTTTGTGTATGCAATATAATACTTAATTCTTATTTATTGTATTTATAATACGTATCCTCTTACTTTATCATGTATAATATCTACTTCGTCCAGCATCTGCATTCATACACATACACAAAAAACACACACATTGATGCACTTAAATAATGAATATTTCTAGGTGTCTGGTGGCTTTTAATGAGAAAGAAATGGCTTTGGAAGGAAACTTTAAGGATAATTCCATGGCCGGTAAAGTCAACACCATTGTCGATGGATTCTTCAAGACGTCCGACTTCGACTGGAAATCCAACCTGGTATCTATGCAGACAAGGACAAGGCCAATGTTAACTTCAAGATTAATGCCGACGGCAACGAATACATGGCCAAATTTGAGGGCACCCGCACTTCCCTTCTCGTTGAATCGAACTTCGCCAAACACATTCTTGTTGATGCCCACGTAAATATTGTATTCTCTTAGTGTCATGGTGATTCTGAAAAAATCTGTTTCATATCCAGAATAATGTAAGTATTTGATCATTCATTCAAATTCTTTCCCATCTAATACTAGGTAACCAGTACACAGGACATGAGGAAACTACATGTTGCTGCTGAGTGGTGGATCATACAACTTTCGTCATTGATGGACAGTTGCTAATGGCGAAATTGGAGCGGAATTCAAGTAAGAATTAATGTGTAAATTTTAGCTTATGTCATACAATTGTCAGTTAGGGTACGAATCTTTCAAGACAGATGAGTGCAATGATTTACTCCTTTGGTAGAAGCCCTGAATCCTTTTAACAAGATGTTTTCTACAGCCGTAAGAAATATGGTTTATAATTACAGATATGGTGACAGGGAAATGTCCATCCTTGGCAAGCTAATTGACAGTGGTGTGGAGGTGGAAACCAAATGGGCTTCTGACAAGAGAATTTTTGTCAATGTTCACTACACACTTGGCAATACCAATTCGCTGGCAGCTACAGTGCAGACGCCATTCCAAGGTTGGGAAAAACAGGATGCCACCTTTACCTTCTCCATCAAGGATTATGAAGTTGAGAGCCGATTTTCTGCTACATGGAAGAACACACAGCAAATGGCACTTATTGTCACTGGTAAGGTAGAACCTGGACTCTTTACCAATGCTCTTTCCACCAAAGTTGCATTCACAAGCACCTTTGATAACTATGAGCGTATCGAATTCTCTCTGGATCATAACATGGTTGATTCTACCATCAAGACTCATTTGGAGGGCGCCTGGAACCAAGAGAAAATGGAAGGCAACTTCCAACTCACTCCTAACACCAATGGTGTAGATGCTCGAGCTACCTTCACTTCCCTGTCACAGAGAACATCCTTGTGACATTGCATCATGAGTTACTCAACAGTTGTCTACCACATTGAAGTGAAATATGGACAAGAGATCTCTACTGCTACTGCCACAGGTCACGTGGATCTTAGTAATGTACATGACATCACTCTGGTGTTCAAGGTTGACACCCCTGTTTCTTTGATCCCTGAGATAAATGCCAATCTTAAGTACTCCCTGAGTGGAGAAAGTCTCAACTTGATCACTGAAGGTAAGATTGGGGAGAAGAAAATCATGCTTAATGTAAGCGGCCGGCGGACTGTCAGTGGCGACACTACGGACATTTCTGGAGACGTTCGCTTCATCACTCCTTTCACTTACCCTCTGACAGCATCTCTCAAGCACACCCATGACATGGAGCACTTTACATCACAGTTCGAGATGACCAGGATCTGGTCTACATACGGTAGCGTCAAGGTGCATGCTCAAGGACACATGCTCTCCAAGAATGATGTAGAATTCAAGGTTGACGTTTCCAGCCCAGTAAATAAGGGATCAATCGCCTTCAAGCACACTGTCACTAACACCAAGATGGATTCCTCAGTTGATGTCATTTTCAACTCTGAACGTATTCATATGTCTGTGGGTGGACTTCTGGATGTGTCTAGGAACTTGGCAAACATTGAAGCTGAAGTTACTTCCACTTTCAGTGGCCTAGATGATGTAAAAGTCAGCATCGATAGCAAGAAGGATGACAACACAAGAACTTCCAACATAGTTCTCATGAAGGGAACAAAATCTGTTGTTATTGACCATACCATTACCTTCAATGATTGGTTCAACTGGGAAAACTCCTTTATTGTGAATGGAGTCTACAAATTAAGCAACAAGCAGATGCATGCTGGCTCTCTGTAAAACACCAACTTGAGTACATGTGGGATCGCCAACTTGTGCAATTCGAAGGAACTTTCGACAAGAAGATCTCTGGAAATACCCGTCAGATTGATGCCCAGGTCTCCCTTTCCACTCCTTGGACTGAGGACATGAAACTTGATTTGCACCACCAAGATGATGGTGTTGAGTACAAACCAACACTTATCATTGAGTACAGGCCTGGAATGAAGATTGAAGTTGCCTCTGTTCTGAAATGCGATTCATCATTCTTCTACACTGCATCCACTCTTACAACACCATTCTGGCAGCCAATGGGATACAAACTCAACATTGACTTCCAGCCAAGGAAGACTGCTACTCTTGTTTTAACCCGTGGAGCCAACAGAACTACTATTGACATCACAGGAAAAATTGAACAAGGAAAGGTAGATGGTGAGCTGCATATCGATTCTACATATCTTACCAAACCGGTTTCTCTGGAGGTGTTCTATGACATCATTTCAGCCGAAAAGAAAGTGAACTTGGCGCTTGATTTTGACAAGAGGTATGAGATAACAGGAGTCATTGCTGGTCACCTTAAACAAGCTAAATGGTCTCTTATGATGGACCTTCCTCTTGAAGCTGTACAAAAAGTTGGTTTTAGTGGCGAGTACAATGTTGAAGCCATGCCCTTCACTGCCAACAGTACTAATTTTCACCCAGAAATACCAGGTAAATGGCAAGATCAACGTGGATGAATTCCAAATCAATATGGATTTGAATGGAAACTGGAAGTTGGTCAGCAGGAACTACCAGGAACTACGCTGGTGTAGAAATCGACTTCCAGTCACCACTTACGACACTGGACAACATGTCTATCTCAGCAATGTATGACTTCCGTAGTGAAAAGAAAGTGACCCTCAAGATGACACGTAACTCAAAGGAAATCAACCTTTCTGGACGACTTGAAGGACAAACCATTGTTTTTGAAGGCACAACTCCATTCAGTGGATGGGAAACCCTTAAGGCCTCATTCTTCATCTCCAGCTCTGCTGTTAAAGCCTTTGTGTCCAGGAATGACCGCAAGATTGAGGTTACAGGAACACTGCACATCAGAAAAGTCAAGGGAAAGATCAATCTCACCATCAATACTCCATATGCTGGCTATGAAACCATTGCTGTTGACACAAGCTACAGCTTACAGGGCCAGGTGAAAACAGTGGAGTTTGAAGCCAAATTTGGCTCGCAAGAACTCTCTTTGAAGGGAGACATCAAGACAAACAACATCCTAGCTCCTGAGATGACCCTCAATATCATTACTCCATTTGAAACTGTAAGAACTCTTGGTGGAGAAGCTCACTGGGACCTGAGAAACCTTGTCAAGACTGCCGAAGTGAAGGCTTTCCGCAATGACCGTCACTACCACTGGCAGTTAGAGGCAGCTGCTGATAGTCCCCTAAAGGGTTATGCCAAATCCAAGATCACAACTCCCATTGCTGGATGGACAACAGTCAGTTTGGAAGGAAACTTTGATTTCACCTCCATGCCTTACAGGGCACTTTTTACTTACAATAAAGAAGGAGTTATCAACACATTTGAAGTACAAGCTAGTGTAGCAGAAACTGCAGTATCTGGTGAAATTACAACACCAATCTCTGGCTGGGAGAAGATTGCTTTGAATGGCGACTATTCTCTGGTTAACAACCTTCTGTCTGGAAATGTGGAGATCACCAAAGTTCTGACAATATCATCTCAATGGGGAGATTGCTTTTAATACTCAGAAGCCGAAGTTGAATATTGGCATCAGGACACCTCTAGCAAATGCTGCTGATATTGAGCTGGTTCTTGATGCTAATCTAGTTGATACAGAAAAGAATTTCCACATTACCTTCAAAAGGAATGACATCACTTATTCTGCAGATTTCACAGGCCAAATGATCTACAAAACAGGATTCGTGAAGCTGCATACAACTTCGCCAATTCCAGGTTTTACATCCCTGGATGTTGATGCCAAATACGACTTTACTGGAGACGTGAAAACTGCCGAAGCCAATCTTATGAAGGAAGGAAATAACCAGCATATTTCACTGACCTCCACAGTCAATGACAACGATTTCCATGTTGAAGTTGAAACACCATTTGCTGGTTTTGAATCTGTGAAGATGGACGGAGATTACGCTTACCTCAATAATAAACACAGTGTCTCAGCTTTCATTTGAGAAGAATAGTCAGAAGTATGACTTCCATGCTGAGATTTCACTCAATGCCAACTCGGTTACCCTGACACTGGTAACCCCAATAGTAGACATTAAGCATGTTGTCATTAGTGGCAATTACCAGGCTATTGAGAATGGAATGGAATGTTCTCTTGTCATTGAAAGAAACCAGGATAAGTTTGAGTTTAATGCTCAAGGGTATTTTACACCCAAGATCAGATCTCCACTCTCACTGGAGATGCCTGTTGAAGGCTGGAGGAAGCTTGAGCTGGATACCCACTATGATGTTATCTCCGACAAGAAGTCTGCTGAGATCTCTTTCCAGAGAGATTCACTGATGAAAAAGCTGTATGTTGAGGGAAGCTACAATCTGAAATATGGATCTTTTAAGGTTATGACTCCTATTGAAGACTTCAGAGTCCTAGGTGCTGAATATACACTAAACCTTGATGAATATAACAAGAAACTGGATGCTTCTGTAAAGATCAGTCAAAACTCCAATGAATGGGCTTTCGAGGCACATGGACAATTCAGTGATGACAACATTGTCATTAAGTTCCAGACACCATTTGAAGGTTTGACACCATTGCTGTAGAAGGAAACTAACTATGGAAACAGATCTGGAAGAGGTGTCATTCAGTTTGGACCTTATAAGTTTACCACCAGCATTTCCTACGCAAATGATAATATGTCCTTTGATCTGACGACTCCCTTTGATGTTATCAAGACTGTGTCCCTTTCAGCCCGGTACAGCTGGACCACCAGCCAAAAGCTACTAAACACTTACAATGACAAGAACTTTGTTCTCTCAAGTTCTCTGCAGCTCTCTACAAGGGCCTCTAACATCACCTTCCAGGCCACAACTCCTTTCGAGGGTTTCCAGAACTCCTTCATTGAAATCAAGTATGACATTGATAACAGAGAGGAGCTCCTTGCATCTCGTGTCAGTGTAGATGATCACAGCTACAGCTTTGTTGTAGGTGGATATATTGAGGACAAGCTAGCCGTGTTCAAGTGGAACCTTAACTCTCCTCTCACTGGCTGGACTGATGCCAAGTTTGTAGCTAAGATTGATCTTTCCAGTGAAAATAAAAACTTGGAAATCTCCCTTGAGAAAGAAGGAGACCTTAAAGCCATTGCAGTCTCTGGCAAGTTCATTGGCAGTACACTGGACTTTAATCTGCGAACTCCTTTCAGAGGGCTCAATAATTTCAATGTGTTTGGTTCTCTTAACCGGTCAAAGAGGTCTCTTGAAATGAGAATGATGAATGATGCAGGACAAGCATCTTTAGCTGCAATTTCAACTCCCTCAGATTCAACATGAAGACTCCATTTGAAAGGGCAGAACAGATCTCCTGGGAGGTCACCAAGACTGGTGAAGGCTCCTACAAGGCTGAATGGAGGAGGAATGATAATTATGCCATAATCATGATAGAAAAGGATGGAAAGAAAAATTCTTTCCAAGTGGATGTGAAGAGTGAGTTTCAAGGATGGGGAGATCTTGGCTCTTACTGGAAGACTAGATCAAGATACAAAACAGGCCTACCTCAGTGGAGCCATCAATGAACAGAAAATCACCATCTCTGGATCAGGTTCCTTTGGTAACAAAATCCAATATACCATGAAGATTGAAACACCCTATGAAAACTACAGAGTTGTAGATGTTCAAGTAGATTATGTGAAGAGAAGGAACACAATGAAGATCGAGGCTTCTTCATCCTCTTCTGATTTCCATCTTCTTTGGTCACGCTCAGGATCAGGCCTTGAAGCCCACCTTATTGTACCTAATTCACAGCAGAATACTGAAATTTCCATTAACCTCACCCCTACTCAAGGAAAAATAACCATAACATCACGATTCGAGCCTATCAGGGATTACCTCAAGAATACCATGTTAACCTTGGTCAGAATGATATCACTGCTGACCATATTATCAAGCTGAATGGTCATGAGGTTTTCAAGATGGACTTTGAGAGGAATGCTTCTGAACAGAAGGGACACCTGGAAATTCACATTCATGTAGCAGAACGCCACACAACTATTCATTTCCATCGTGAGGGCTTTAGCAAGCTTAATTTCCTCTTTAAACGTGAGGTTCCCCAGTATGGCGAGAAACACTTCAAGGTCGACATAACTGGATCAGGAGCATTACCACAAAAGGGTGCACTTGATATTGTTGTTGAGAACACCTTCCGTGAACCAGCGAGATCCATCAATGCACGTGTTGAAGTAGACCGGACTGGTGCCCGAAAGAAAATCAAGTTGGAAGTTATTCCACAACCAAGCAGACTGTATTTTTCAACCTTGACTATGATGCAGACCTCCAAAGCCCACGACACGGAGACTTCACTTTGAGCATTACAACCTCCTGCCAGGC